ACGGATGTACCGTCGAAACATGTCTGGAAAATTAAAGAAAGTTGTTATGTTTTTACGACTATCTATATTGTTGCTGCTATCTAGACCTATTACAGAATTATTTTCAATACCGAACTGAAAACTGCTCTAATTGAAATCAATTACTTTGATAAGTATTCTTTGTTCAGTACCATTCCTGCGCTAGAAATGTCAGTTGTTTCCTTTTTGACATGCACAAAGCTCCTGGTTTTGCTAACGAACGTAGACAAAACTATGAGGAATACCCATGAAGGGCAGCATGCATTAATTTTTTGTACAGTTGAAGTGCTTCTTGCCAATTGTCTGGCAAAGGCATTGAAAGACTAATTCTAGCATAATCAAAGTATTCCTGATGTTCATTGTCAGTGCCATCTAACTCTTCAGTTATATGCTGTGTACCAAATTCAATTTTAGCAGCAGGTACATCAACTAGGCAATTCTTTGCACCATGAAGGTCAGGCAAAAAGGAGGAGTTTGCATATATGCCATCATGCTTTGCGTTTGAACTATATTATCAAACTCTATTCGTCACGTGATACTGTTAGTTCAAGATGGACGCCGTGGAGAGAAGGCCGTGCGACGTGAAGCTATTTAAAGATAATCGCTACGTATGGCTTCATTGTACCGATTTGGAAAGCCGATTCGAGCTTACAGTCAAAAGCTTCCCACTTTTGAAGGTCAAGCTTGTTTACGGCCACTTTTCGTTCATGTGGGATTTGTCGGAACGAAGACTAGTAATGTTGCCCGACTCGGATGATGCGATGTCGAAATTAACTGGAGTAAAATCGCCTTGTTGTATCGACGTGAAGTCAAGTGCCGTATTTGATGTGAGTATTTTTTCCTTTCTAAGGGTTGAACCCAATTTGATTGTGTTTTTACCCATTTGTTGGGTACATTGAGTTTCACCCGATGTCTTATCTCACCTCTTTCCGCAGCTTAATAAGCTCAGGTCTTCTTTGCTTTCATAACACAAAACTTTTTTGTACCAGGTTGCCCCTGAAGAAACTGATGACAACGAAGGAGCGAAAATGGCTGTTATCTGGGATTTTGAGCCCACGACCGGTATGACAGGAGCAGCAATACAACCAGAAGAAAAACCAGCAGACCACATGGTGTCCGTTCCGAGGCTTGCCTTCGATGAAGTGTCGTGCAACTGCACTCAATTTCCTGGCGTTGGTGACATAGTTCGCACACCAGACACAGGAGCAATTGCAGCACGGTTGCAAAATCTCGATTTAAGCGGTATACCGGATGCATGTGGCGATACAGATGATGAGAACGATAAGGAAAGTGAGGAAGAGGGTACTCGCGATGAATCAAATAGCGAAGCGGAGGAGGAATTGTTTACAGAGTTGATGCAGTTGAAAGGAAGCAGTTACCACGATTCTTTTCAAAGTAGCCTCGAAAAGTGCAAGGAAAGATTATTGGAAAAAGAAAAAATCGATCTCCGTTTACAATTCGAACCCACAAACGTTCGAGACGAGAACGCTATAGTTGTCCAAGCAAGTTTGTCTGCAGGAGAAGGAGGCTGGCAATCAATTGGATACATCCCTGCTGTTAAAGTCCGCAAAGTCACTATTGCTATGAGAAAGCGAGAAGTAAGACTTGTCACCCTTAAAACTGTATTTTATCAATTTGTTTTTGACATTGGGCAAAAAAATATTTTCCTGCAATTTCAGTGTCTAAGATTGGCAGGTGGCCCCCTAACAAAAAAGACTACAAGTACAATGACAAAATTTAGGTTTTTAAATAATAATTGAAAACTATTTCCTATTTTTATTGACTGTAGATGAATGAAAGGGGATATTTATGTGTTTTCATATTTTATATGTAGAACATTTCAAGTTCAATCAAAACAGGTTTTGCAGCTTAGTTGTCACATGGTACAAAACCAGCATCCAGGGATGCAAACTGTGTTAAAATGACGAAAACAAAAGATAGAGCATCTGCAATCCTTTCAAAGTTTACTGCGAAATTTGCTTCCAAGCAGGGAGTTTTTGTACCATGTGATTATTAACCTACAAAGAAGCCATAGTTTCGTGTGTAAAGGTCTTTGTGACCAGGTGTAAGAGTTGAACAACTCAGGCCACCTATTTGAACAGTTTCATCATGTTTCATCTAGTTCCCATCTAGTTCACTGTTATTGGTAAGCAACAATAAGAGTGGTGACACGTTCTTGTTTAGAAACCAAAGTCGTGTTCCTTGTACCTTTTATTCAACCAAGATAAAGCATAATGCAGAGTCATGTTGATATTGATTAAGTCATATTAAATTATAATGATTATTGAAAATAAATTAGTTATTTCACAAGAGGAAAAGCTTATCTACATAAATCCAAAAACATATTTTGCTTAGGTGAAAAGCTGTAATCTGTATGCATGTCTCCGAAATCACTAACCCTTCCACTCCAACCAATGGTTATAATAAAGAATTCTCACTAATAAAAATATTCAAGGAGATGGAACTGAACAGAATTCTTGCCTCAATTTTCAATTTTAACACTGAACAAATATTTCCGTAGACTTAATAAATTATTGAAGTTCTTGAATTGAAGAAAATTGGGCTGACATAACTGTGTTTAGGGGTGAAAGGTTGAAATATTTGGAGTGAATCTCATTTGTTTAATTGAAACAGTGCATTTTGCATTAAAACTAATAATATTAACAATGTACTTGTCACCACAACAAAAATGCTTGTTTGCATTACAACACTAATAATGTTACCAAAAACTATTCAAGGATGGTGCTTTATTTGGTGTTTGCTTGCTTGACTGACCGAGCCACTATACCAATGGAAACCCAGAGCAAATTTGAGCATGCAGTGAGGAAAAATTATGCCAGAAAAGACTTCTCATATATTATTTTTCCCGTTTGTTTTTTTGTCAGCATTTACTATTACCTTTTTACTAAGGATCTGCCCAATGATCCTTTTAAAGCTATTTGTCATTGGTGATTAGATATGTGTGTTATCAGTTTGTTGTTACAATAATAAACTGATCGATAATATATATTCTACTCCATTGAAGAACAAATAAAAGCTTTATGTGAAGAATGTCATACATGAAATACATGAATGTCATACATGAAATATTTTCCTTGCTCTAGGTGTATCAGTGTTGCATGATGATTCTTGAGATCGGCGCTTGCTCTCAGGTTTACCCGGAGAGTCGAACGTAGGTACATGACTACGTTTTAGACTTCCCTCCTCCATAACAAACAAACCTAAAAGGAACAATTCAGGACGTCGGATGAATATTTCTAGTGATTTAAAACTTAAATAATACCAAAGGAATCCAAAATAAACCTAACGATACATACAAATATGTCTATTGCAAATCCATAAAACAAAGCACGTAGAAAAGGAACAAGATCATGCGGAAATTTGCATCACACAAAAGCACCGTCAATTCTTAACAGACCAAAATTTGCACGCTTTTCTTGATCGTCTACGGTTAAAACTAGAGAGGTCAAAAGAGGTCAAGACCCGTTTTCTCAATATTCAACCTTCACTTTCTGAAATGGAACTACCGTTGAGATTTATATTTGCATTAAACATTATGCAAATTAATAAAGAAAGGAACCACTCGACTGTAAACCCAAACACAAAGGCGCGCTATTGAAAAACCACTCTATTGTTTCATTGAATTCTTCACGCTTGACGACCATAAAGCGCAGAAAAAATAAATCTAACGAAAACTCGAAAGAAAAATTCGTAAAAAATGGTAAAATCATTTACCTAGAGTACGCCAAAATTGGCAAAATGGCAGGCTAAAAATCACTCGTTACCGGAAAGACGACCGCCTTCGACCCGCCATTTTCATAACAAGCGTAACGAAATTGCACCAAAGCATGCTGGGATATATGCAAAATCCTCCTTTGTCAGGCAAGAAGAAAAGCGAGTCTGGACGTCCTGGTACACTGTCATTTCTTGACTTTCGAATTCTGTGTGTGTTCCACTGCTCTTTCACAGAATCAAGCTCTTTTTGCAGTACTTTGGTAAAACAATACCACAGGCATTCCAGACTTATCTCAGATGTACTGTCCACGATACCCTGAAACTCAAAATCGCTTAAAAAAATCCTCGACCATACGCAATGATTTTTTGAATAATATCTACACCAGCCCTCAGTTCTCTGATTCCTTGGGAAGAGACGTATCGATGTACTTCAGGGTTATCACGAAAGAAAGATTGCATAGCTGCTGCCACTCCATTTTCAGCGCCCAAATCTGTGATCAGTTCTACAGGACAACCAATTCTGAAACTGTTCTGGCGTAAAAAGTGGCTATTTTGTTTGGTGAGTTATTGGAATGAGTAATTTCTAACCACAAAATCCTCCGGCTAAATTCATCAATTGCACCATGGATGGGAAAGCCCCAACACTAAAGTTTCTCATATCCATCGATATGCCAGAAATAGTTAGGCCCAGGATTCTGACATACTCGTCTTTTTAAGCAATGCGATCCATCTCCTTTAAAAGATCTTGAACAATTACTCTGGGAGTTGGAAGATTTCCTTCCGAATATGACCCGACCAGTCACACCTTAATCTTATATAAAATGGGGAAGTTAGGCTACAGTAACTCACAGTCACGAATCAGGTGTGATGCCCGCAGGCGAGAGAAGAAATAAAACGTACACTATTAAAGGTGTGGGATCTGGTAGGTGTAATGAGCGAGCCCTCTGATTTGAGTTACGAAGTCAACTCTTTATAGACCTTAATTGGTCGTTCGCCACTAGTTTACAGCTTTAACTTACCTTTCCCACAGTTGCCACAAAAGTTGCAATTGTCGACATTTCTTCCGCAGTTGCTGCAAAACATCCTGACGACAAAACTATGTGCAGGAACAAAATGGCGGTCGGCTCAAGGCCGAGTGAAAACTGGACATAGTTTCGTTCTCTGACCGCTGACCGTTTAATCTTGTTTTTGATGTCAGGATTTTGTATTTGATGTGAGTAACTTGTATTTGATGTGAGCAATTTGTTTTTGATGGGAGTAATTTGTATTTGATGTGACAGTTGTGGGCCACCGTAATTTTCACCTTGTTTTCGTTACCCAAATTTTTAAGATCACAGTTAGCCTATCAATCAACCATTTTTCAAGAAATAGCACTGAAAGCTTATGAAGTTCCATCAAATAGATTTAAATGATCACCTAAGATTAACTGCTTCCCTACTAAACTGTCATTGTCAAATTAATAAGAAATAAGGGAAGAACATGGTGGAGAATTTGCATTTTGACATTAAAGCTAAAGGGGTTTAGGTGGCTATGTACAATTGAAATGTATTTTGTAAGTCCCTTTTATGCTCTGCCCACCTCTATTACAGCTCTATTTCCCATCAGAGTTCATTGAAGTAAATAAATGAATAACCCTTTAAGTTCCAAAAATGACCAATATTAATTTTCTACCAATAGTATGCATACTCAAGCACAGGAAAAGGTCATGGTAATTTAAGAAACTCTCATCTCTTTCTTAAATTGGCTAACGATTACCCTGGAAAATTGTACTTGGATAGTGTAGCTTAAAGAGTTGGAATAAAAAGAAAATAAAGGTGGAAGTAATTGACCTCAACTGAAATCACCAATTTTTAAAAAATGTATAGGGAGTGTACATATCAATTAATTAAAGCTTTAATAGTAGTTCATAAATTGAGCTAGCACTTAACAAATAATATACATAGCACACATTGTTTCACTGATCCCAAGGGTATCTTAAGGTATAAATATCCAGGCCATTCAATCTCTACGTTCACATTTGTGATTATGTCAACAGACTATTCACATCTACTTTTTTTCAAATTCCATTTCTCCTCCAGCACCAGTTCTTTGTTGTTTTAATCACAACTTGTCCTCTTAAATATCTAAGTACAGAGCAGAGCCACTGACTCCGAAGTTTAAAAAAGCAAAAAAACAAGAGATAGAAGAGATCAATTCCAACCTGGAAGGAAAAACTGCGATTTTAATTGGAGATTCAATAATGAAAAATATCCAAAGGTTTGCACCTATTAAGTACAATGACTACTTCCCCATTTCCACAGTGTTAAATGCTGCCATTTCTGGTGACACTGTGGAGGCAATACTGTACAGGGTGGAAAGTATGATTTTCCCCAAATCTGTTTCAAATATTTCTCTACTATGCAGAACAAACAATCTAGTAAGTACATCTCCTTCTGTTATATCTGCCACGATCATCAAAATATTAACTGTAATTTATCAAAAATGCCCAACTGCTATCATTCATGTGTTTCCCATTTTACCACAGCTCGATTATGATGCAATGATAGATTCTGACCTATTTGTAACTCTGGTATAATTGAAGGCGGGCCCAGTAAGCTGTTGCCATTAACATTAAAGATCGAGGTTTCAATAGTTTTGCTAGCCAGCACTGCACTGTTATCTTCAAGTTGTTGCACGTTGCTTCTACAAAAGTAAGTCTCATTAAACAAAGGCCATCCTATACATGGATGGAAACTAAAAATAAATGTGGTAGGAAGTCTGCCGTTCTCAAGATCTTGCAAGCAACAATTATGAATTCCTCTATGGACGAAGTAAAGGAAAAAGAGATTGCATTTCTTCCAGGAAATTTTTACAATGTTCGTTTTTCGGAGAATTACTGTTTTGCAGTTCACAAAGGAGATCCGGAAAGTCTAAGTGATTTGATCCACAAATATCGTTCTGTGAATTCGACCTCATTCATTCAAACATAAACAATACAAGGGGAGAATTGTTATTCAGTGATTACTTTTATGTATGAGGTAACCCTTACATAACTGTAATAAATCGCCATTTTAAGGTCAAAACTGAAAATCAGAACAATAGACCTCGGGCTGATTTAGAAATATTTATGGTTCCGTTGGTGTTGTAGCTTTGCAGCACACAGCGTAAAAATACATCAATACAACCTCAATGGGTACCCCGGATTTCAAGTGATGATCGAAGGATATTTTGTGGTTTGAAAATTTCGATCCTGGGATTTTTTTGGTGGCTTGTCTTAAGTAGGAGCTGAAAAGAATTTTTTTGGAGGGGTGGGGGTAGGTTTTTTAAAAAAATCTGACGATTCGTGGTAGTGCTACAGGACAAGGTAACTCGATGGCATCTCTCTTAGCAACTTGCACATCTCACTTTATTTGTTATGGATGATGCAAGCCGCGAATCCTCGGAGTTAAGAACTAACGTAGAGCCTAATCTCTCCAGCACAGAGATTTTCCAGCTGACTTATTGTCTCTTCGATTTGATGCTGGATTAGAAGTTTTCCGAGTATAAATGTGGTTTTGATGAGGAGATCACGACAACTTTCCAGTTCAAGGAGCTAACAAGCAAGACAAAAGTGGCAAACAGTTTTCAGTTAAAAGGCAATAAAGTTCAGTTTGAGTTCAATTCTGACCTTTTACAACTTGTTAACATGACCTGTTCCGTGCTCTTGGAAGGTAATCTTGTTGCAGTAATAAATAAGTAGTTAGAAAAACCTAAAGGTGCAGTTGAACAAACGAAGCAAGGTCATTTGTTTGGTGATAAAAGTCCTGCTAGTTGGATAGCTGTGGAAGAATATGACTCTGAAAAAGTTGCTGTTGACTCAGAGGATGAAAAGAAGCTACGTTCTACTGAGCGGAGGGCCCTTTCCAAGCTTTGTGGCTGAAAAATGCAATCGAGGAGTACTGCTCAAGCTCGTTTCAGATCTTCACAAGAGAGGCCTCTTTCTGGTCCTTTTACCCTGCCATTCGGCCTTTTTGTTCAGAGCAATTCCGTTTTCAGTCCTTTTGTCAGCAGCCTTTCATCACAGACATCTGCAGCCCACAGACAAGTGCTTTAATTGCGGGAGGACATTGGGCAAACTCTCCGTCCTGCCACAGCTCTCACGGCAGTAGAGTCTCCACCTCCAGTACCATCAGCAACTAGTAGTGCGGTTAATCTTCTTGGAACAAATGAGTATCCTTATGTTCTTTTAGATGTGAGAAGTGCTTCAGGTCTTGATGAAAAGAGTTATGCAGATTATTTAGAGCGTTCTTGTTCAATCATTGTTAAGTGTATATTAGGAGTTAATTCTTCCTTTTGGAGGCCTGCTTGCGAGGTTAAGGTGGACAGATGTCTTTTTTGTGCTGTGTAAGAAACATCGACCAGGAGGCCAAAAAGCAACCATCACTTGAGCATGTCGAAGAGACTCTACAGAAGGGAGATCTTCAAGTTCCTTGTGTCAATCACTGCCATCTCTGAAAAGAAATCAAGTGCTGAGTGACGGAGCGGAGGCTTACAACCACTCATCTCTCACAAATAATGGATAAACTATTAGGTTTTGAGGACAGGATGGAAAACTTCTTTGGCAGAAATATCTTGTCTCAGCACGGAAATAAAAGATGAAATAAGAGGCATGAAAACCGTGGAAAAGATGTTAGAGGCTACTTGGAACGCTGTCAATGATTTGCAAGATGCCAAAGCCCACGGGGACTTCAAAAGAACTACTCAACAGACACTGGACACGCACCAGCAAGAAATAAATGCTCTGAAAAGCAAGGGAGAGAAGTCGATATTGGAAAGCCAACAAGCGTGAAATTCGAAGATAAGTCTGGTGAAAGAACAGGAAAAGATAGTTCTTGCTATCACAAAAGGTGGTTGACAGAAAAGCTTATATTTATCAATAATGAATTTTTCTACACAGGAAATATCCTAGCAGACTTTAAACCAGCACTAGCTTTATAATAACTTCTTAAGACCTTCCTCTAAACTAGCGTTAAAATATTTATTTTTATTGACATAATTGGCTTCCGCATTGCATACGCTTAGCAGCCTGAGAAAATTTATAATAGGTTTTTTCGCTTTGATAGCCTTTTCCTGGTAAATGCGTTTAAAAGGAATTTTTTCAAGTTATATTTTTAGTCAGCATGTCAAATTTTATTTTGGTTTTGTGTTTTGTTAAGCTACATGTTTACTTTTCGCCTGTTCATGATGCAGGGCCTCATTTATGCCTTGTGTATCAATTCACTTCCTTACACCTTTTACCTGTCATAACGCTTTTGCTGATGAATTAGTGATTAGAAAAGTGAGGGGACTAACACTATTAAAAGGCATGACATTCTGATGGTTGAAAACTAAAAAATACGCAATATTCTTTTGTACTGGGAGAACTATGGTTGTGAGGCATGGCGAGACTTATACACATACTTGGAGACCTACCATTGCAGGGTTGCAGTGCTTGGGGGACATGGTGAGACTTATATGGGTACTGGGACTCTTATGGTTGTAGGGGTTGCCGTGGTTGGAAAGAGTAGAGAGACCTGTACGTGAACTCGGAGACCTATGGCTGCAGGAGGTGCGGTGGTTGCAGGACTAGAAAGACCTATACATGTACTCGGAGACCTATGTTTGCAGGAGTATGGATACTGAATGTAAATTGGCAACAGTGGCTTTTCGCCCAGGTTGTATAAAGTTTAGTGTTGAAGAAATCTCAGACATCTCTGCGTCAACTTGTAAAATGGAATTTAAGTTACCTCCACATTTAAGCAGCTCTGAGAAGTTCGATGCATCTTTAAATACAGTTCTTAATAGGTCATTATTTAATACTGTGTACAGGCGTACTCTGCAGTATCAGTCACCATCATGGTCTTTTTATTTATTCTCTTACACTATTGACGTGAGGCTGCTTAAGTGTGAAAAGTGTCAGCATGTTTGGTGTTGTTGTTTTTACACTTGCGTCGTTAGGAAACAGAACTACGGAGCCCTATAAGGGACACACATCTTGTCTAATTTCGTGCCACTTTTAGTGCCACTTTTAGTGCGATTTTCACTATCAGCATAATACAAATCGCAGGCGCACCACTTGTGCATGT